TTAGGCTTCCAGCAATGGTGTCTTGACTGCCCCCCTGCCATGAGACCGCACAAAGCTCCATCCAAATGGCTCCCGCATGGATGCTGGAAATGGGCCACTGGCAACCATAGTGGCCAACATAAGCTCTGGTACCCCCGCATCCTCGACCAAACCCTAAGCCCGTGTTCTCGAGTAGTTCGTTTGCAAGAGGCGGCTTCAGACTCCGCGAGACGAGCCAGAGAATGAATGCCAAATAATAGAATACAGCATGCTATGCTATATCACACAATATACCATAGTATGAGCCAATATGATACAAGAAAGCCTGTGAATCAGCCAAAACCATTGAAGCACAGGCACTCGAAGTTCGAAGCTTTGGGCATGGTTCCGCTATGTGCCCTAAATCCTTAAGCCCGCAGTCCTAAACCCTGAACGATTCTTGAACAACGGGGCAGAAGCCCGAAACCCTAACACCCTAAAGCCCGCACTCTCCCCAAACCCAAAACCTTGAAACCCCAAAACCCTAACGACCCGTAAACCCCAAACCCCAAAATACCCAAACCTTAAAAACCTCAAAACCCCCAAGCCCCTAGAAACCCCTAAACCCTGAAACCTAAATCCCAAACACCTAAACCCAAAGCACCTATAGCACCCTTGTAGCAACGCTTATAGATCCCTTAAAGGATCCTTCAAAGGAACCCCCCAAATCGTAGAGCCTGGGCCAAGTCTGGAGAGCTGCAGCGCCGGCTCGTGGAGGTCAGGGTCGTTTGGCTTCGGGTTTTTAGGGGTTTTAGAGCTTTGGGGTTTTGGTTTTGAGGGTGTTTACGGCTTCTGAAAGGTGTTTTCGGGCGTCTGAGGGTGTTTTGGGCTTTGGTGGTTTTAGGAGTTTAGGGTTTTGGGGCTTTAAGCGTTTAGGGCTCAGGTTATAGGGTTTTGGGGTTGTATGGCATTTAGGGCTTTGGGGTTTTAGGTTTAGGGTTGCCTATGTATCTAACTGCATATGTTTTACTGCTCGTGTCCGTCTGTTCGTATGTCTATCTAGCTATCTGGCTATCTCGCTGTTTACCTAGCTACCCACTTATCTACCTGTCTATTTGCCTGTCTCTCTATCTATCTATGTATATCTCTGTTTTGCTTGCTTCTTTGTTATACCCTAGTTTATGTCTGCACATGTGACGAGTCATTGTGTTACATATATGTATACATGTACACCTAGACACGCATGCATATATGTGTATATATATGCCAAGTGTATGTATGTAAATATGTTAAAAAATATATGTACATATATTTATATATATGCACATGTGCGCGAGGGTCTGTGTGTGTGTGTGAGTGTGTGCACTTCTCTAGTTCATGAGACAAGCGGCGCACAACCCACCCAAAGCAGCACTTGTTTTACTTTTGCTTCTGAGCATTTCAATACTACTACATTTCGCAGCGGGCAGCGACACAGTACTTGGGATCGCTCCCAACGAAGACGCCCAATTACACTGGTGATGCACTGGGAGACCTCCTGGTGTGTACCTGCAACAAAGCTTGTGACATCTTCATCGTGCAAACTGTGTATGGTACAATCTTGTGATAAAATCGCCGTGAAGCTACGACAGTCGCGTGCAGCTAGGTCGATGGCTTGCCGTTTGCATACATGTACGGTTGCTGCAATCTTTTACATGCATGACGGCTCCACATGCATGATCCGACAACACCAGCACAGTCGCTATCTAGAGCAACGTCCCCTGCGGACATCCATTTGGGAGTGCAGACAATACTTCTTCAGTGTGTGTGCGTGTCTGCTTATTGTTGAAAATATGTGGAGCAACCTTTGGCCCAAAATTGACTTGGCAGCGCAGCCATGCTGCTCATGACCGTCATCATCCTCAGCCTCTCCCTCGTCATCGCAGTCATTGATATTTTGGAATCCTTATTTTAAAGACCCGATTATTTAGGGTACTATGTTAGGGCCCCCCATCTTGCCAGGTCATCAGATTCATTGTCATTTCTTCGCATTCGCACTGCAGCCACCATGAGCTTGAGGCATTCTGTCAATGAAGTGCGATTGACGCAGGAAAACGATCGTCGAAGCAGTAGCAGCAGCAGCAGCAGTCGTCGTAGTCGCTGTCGGCATCATGGTTTTTGGTGGTAATGGCACTAATGGCGGTAACAGAACTAGTAGTAGCTAGCAGTACAAATAGAGGCCCGAATATGAATATATGGTAGACCTAGTCTCCAAGATCATTGTGACCAACGCAGTTCCAAAACACATGACGTTGTCAGTTACTCTACAGTATACCCGGGTTTTCCGAGTGATTGGAGACTCTGCGAGGTCGTACTCTTGCTGCTCGAAGATCGTGATGCACAGGCCGAACCTTCGCTTAAACCTGCATCCTTCGGGATGTGATCATAGTTGCAAAACCCTTCTGTCTTTGGGTTGATACTGGGGTCCCTTACTTTCTGCGAGTGCATTTTCTTTTGGTGAGGGGGATGGGGTGATGCCGTCAAACATTCCGAGGAAAGGAAGGATGAGTAGAATTGATCTTGGAATATGCAGTTGACTGTCATGAGTCTTGATACGCGCGCCATCTACTGGCCATGAGTTGCGAGGCGAGCAAACGCGATTAAACCTTGCACTCTGACCTCGGGGCACAGGTGTGGCGCGCAGCCTTGAAGTTCACCAAGGTGGTTGTGTTTGTGCTGCCGAAGGACTGGTCATGGTTGTGAGCTCGAGTCGCTAGCCGCTAGCCTCGTTTACAACTCGCTGCGGCAATAAACTGTATACCCCAGGCTCGCCTCTGACCCAGCTGCCCACTGATCTCAAGCTCCGTCACCCTACAAAACGCATATTAGATGACACCAAGTAAATATCATATAGAACCCTTATGAAAACTTGCAACACTAGATGAAACCAGTATCGAGCTTTTACGAAACTGGAGCTCCTGTGTTCTGCTCAGTGGCTGCTCTATGCTATGCCGCAGGAAGCAGGCTCGGGCAAGGATGTAGGGTCGGTGCTTCTGCTAGGCCCTGGTCTTGCAGGCTTTGAACATGGAACTCGACAACCTTATAAGTTAGAACCCATATAGATCCTACAAAGCCATCTAGCACCCTGATAGAGCCCTTAGCCCTCCCGCCCGAACCCTCCGCATCGTCGCAGGAAGGTTTAATCGATCAGCTGCCGAAGATCATGAGGCCAGTCTCAGTCGCTGAGGCTTACTATCGAAGCCTTCCTTCGGGTGTCTCTTTGAAATTGGGTCCAAAATGGCTACTACGAGGGTTGAATATGACAGAAACCTGAATAGTTACCTATCTTATATCTTGGGGTAGCCCATTCTATTTTGTAACACAATATACGCCAGAACCCTACTCTACGGTTGATGGTATAAATCCTGCATTATCTTAAAGACCCTAGACTATCCAAATTATGGTATATTCCTTATTATGGGTACATCAGGATTTATATCATCAACCGTAGTTGTTAAAAAAAAGGCTACAGCAAAGGCAGGGCCCCGTAAGAACTCGGGATAGGTGTTAGAAATTTAATATCAAAAATTAAATATAGATTGAAAAAAGTCAAATAAGGATCAAAAAATATTTAAACAGGTAAGGAAAGAACTCCTCTAAGGTCCTCTCAGGAAGTTTCTCAGGATTCCTTCACGGATTCCTATAACGGTTCTTATGGGGTTTAGGGTAGTTTGGGTTTAGGGTTAGGGTAGGTTTGGTTGTGGGTTTAGGGTGGTGATGTAGGGTTTAGGGTAGTTGGTAAACTCTGGTTCAGTTCCGCTTAAGTCCGGTAGCAGCATGGTAGTTTGACACCGCCTCGGGCCTCTGAGCCCTTCCTTCAGCCGGATGCAATGCAAGGACCCAGAGATTCCAATATCCTTGGAAAAAGGGATATACCTTAAATTCTAGTAGGATCCCAAATATGGTTTTAGGAATATTCCTTATTTAAGGAATGTACCTTAAGTTATAGTAGGATCCCGAATATGATGTTAGGAAAAGTCCTTAAGGGACATGGGAGTCTCTGGAGACTGCGAGTGTAAAGGCTCGGGAGATTTCGGGCTACATGTTGATATGGGAGTTTCCGAAAATTAGGGGTACCTTATTTGGGGTCCATATAATAAGGATCCTACTATTTATTGTACTATATCAGGGTCCCCCATTTTCGGAAACTCCCATATGGGGGCCCGAACAGGTCAACTAGGTTTTGGAGGTAGTGCATTGTACATATGGGTGGTTTTTTGGGGGACTGTAACAAACACGAAACCAAGAGAATAGGAGTTCTTGGTTGAAGTGGGTTTGGGTTTTGACTGCTACGAAGGGCATTGTAGGAGGTTTGGCCACCCTCACCCTCAAGCTTATCCGGTACGGCAAGACATAAAGCCCCAAGCCCCATAGTTTAGGGCCGTTTAGGGTTCACGAGCCCACCAGCCCCTATGGTTTTCTCTGAGTATTCAGGCTTCTGTTTGCGAAACGACGCGCTCTCTGAGGGCCCTGGGCTCAAGAAAGGGGCTCGCCCTTTGCCTCGTCGAGCCCGGCAGAGACCGGATCTGCAGGGGTTGCGGCTGGGAGGGCTTCGGGGGTGACTGGGTTTTGTAGTCGTTTTCCGTTGCTTTAATGTAACTGTGGTACCAGAAACCTCAAGCTCTACTGGGATATCTTGCAGGCAGGCCCTCAACGCGCAGATGAAGAAGGTTGAAGAGAGTAGTCTTCATAACTCTGCCTCGAAAGTCCCTGTAGGGGACGAGTGAGTGGAGAGGAGAAAGCTGGCTTTGGCACTGGTCTAAGTGACTACTGTAAAAACCCCTTCCAGTCAGCAGAAAATGCCCAAAGCCTTGTTCGAAGCATTAAGGCCCATACATACATAAATATGTATGTGTATATATATATATATGTATATATTTATTTATTTCATCTATTTTAGTTATATATATATATATATATATATGTACATATATATATATATGTACATGTGTATATTGTTGTGTAGTCCTTAGAGCTTCCGTCAACACGGATTTCCTTGAGCCATGGATTCCGAAGATCTGCTGGCCCGCTTGAGGCAGACGGGGGCAGAGAAGTGTTAAGAGACGAAGCTTGACGGGGCTTGAGGTAGTAGTAGTAGTAGTAGTAGTAGTAGTAGTAGTCATAATGATAATAAGAACAATAATAATAAGGCTTGAGGTTCAGGGATTAGTATTTAGGGTGCTTTTGGTTTAGGATGGTTTTGGAGTTCTAGGGTTTAGGGATTGAGTAGATACACTAGAAGCAATGGCGCTGCTAGTCAGCAGTGAAACCATGGAAAGGATCTTCATGACCCAGGGTTGGAAGCACCAGAAAAACTGTTTTAGCTGTCGTCGCAGCAGCAGCAGCAGCGCCAGTAGGAGTGGTAGTAGAAGTAGCAGTAGCAGCAGCAGCAGCAGCAGCAGCAGGAGGAGGAGGAGTAGTAGTAGTAGTAGTAGGAGTAGGAGTAGGTGTAGAAGTAATAGAAGTAGTAGAAGTAGTAGAAGTAGTAGAAGTAGTAATAATAATGATAGTAAGAACAATAGGAATAAGAGTAGCAGTAAGAGTACGGGAACCAGGACTACATTAAAGCCCGGTTCAGGGACCTGGCATGAGGTCTGGGGTTTACGATTTCAAGTTAGGACATTGCATTTGGAGCTTGGCAAGATTAAGGATTCCATTCAACCTCAGAGCTTCTTCGAGAAAGGTTTTAGGTTTAAAGGTTTGCAGGTTGGTGCTTCCGGGTTTAGACGAAGCACGGCTGTAAGACCTTCGTCAGCAGCCTGCATGCTTTCTCGGAAGCTATCCCCCAATGAGCCTTCAAAGACCGCGAAGCCATCAAGAATCTTCCAAGCCCTCAGGCGCCTCGAGGAACAAGTGACACAGAACGGGCATGCGTCACGCAGCTCGGACACACCAGCGTTCGTGCTGCTGCCCCGTTTCGGGCCAACGTACACACTGTGAGGAGTGTTAGTTGATGACAGAGGCGTCCTCGACAAACCCAACACCCTAAAACCGCAAAACCCGCAAGACCCTAATGATGGGGGCCTTAATAATGAGAAGAGGGTTTTCGGGCCCTCTATACTTTACTTATAATAAGGAACCCCCCCCCCCCCCCCCCCCCCCCCCCCCCGAAAATAGCATAGCTATTTATTTCGGCCCCTATTTTGAACCCTGAAGCCTCACCTCCCCTCCCGTGCCCTGCTCTCGCATCCTCGTTCCTTGAAGAGCCTCCCTCGAGGCTCCTGTCGGGTTTTGAAACGGGGCCCCAGGGTTTAGGGGTTTGAGGGGTTTGTGGTTGAGAGTTTAACTTTTCGGGGTTTAGGGGTTTGAGGGGTTTGTTGTTGAGAGTTTAGGAGCTGTAGGCTCCGGGGGTTTGGGGATTTTTTAGGGTTTAGGAGGCTCAGGGTTTAGGGTGTAGAGGATTTTTAGGACGCTCAGGGTGTTTCGGTTTGAGGGTTCACGGCAAGGCATCCGGGAACCTGAAAAAAGCTTTACAAATCCATCAGAGTTCTCGAAAAAGAAATGAGGAGGTTGGGTTGCTGTGGGATTCCCAGCACGCACCTATCACGACGATCCCTTAAAGGGAACTCCAGAAAGTTGGAATATGGTTTCAGGGTAGGATCCCCTATAATTTACCTTAAAGGGGGTACGATAATGATATTCCAACTTTCTGGCTTCTACTGTAAAGCCAGAGCTGGGCCAAGGTCTACAGGAGGCTCGGGATAGCATGGATGTTTACGCGGAGCAGTACCGCACTAGAGAGACGGCTCACAGCGCAGCGCTCTGGGAAGAGGAGCCTCTGTTGCGTAAAGCTGCAGGGATGCGATTAGTGGTTATTGTACTATACGACTATAATACTGTAGTAGAACTGAAAAGCTATAAGCATTGTGGAGGCCTTCCCCCCTCAGGGGAGAGGTCATGCATATGATTCCTTATGAGTTCAGTTGCTACGATTTCAGTCGTCCAATGCCCCAAATACTGATGCCTGAAAGCAATAGAGGAGCGTGGGGGCTGTGGCGTCCAACGATATCTGGTTCTGTTCATGCTGAACACTGAACCCCGATGGAGAACCCCCGTTACGACAAGGGTCCCTTTGTGATTCCACGATCTTTTTGTACGGGACAGCACCATTCAGCATGCTAAAAGTCCCAACAACATGGAACATGCCAAACGCAGCTTAAGCATAATAATATGGCGAAAGCGCTCTTGGCACGCCGGCACGGCGTCTTAGCATGCTGACGCGCCCCCTCCCAGATTGTACAGTCGGCGTTCCGGCCACATTCTGAATTATTAGGTAATATAGGGGCCTTCTTAGTTGCCTACTGTATTTTCGGGGTTCCTTATTTTAAATATAATATGCTGGGCCCAAAACCCTATCTCAATTATTCAGGCCCTTGTATAAAGTAAATGCAGACTTCCGTCTCATGGGGCTGTCATGCTTGGGAGACCTGCCCCCATGCCCTCCATCCCCAGAGACTCCAATACCCCTTAATTAAGGAATATACCTTAAGTTATAGTAGGATCCCTAATATGATTTAAGGAATACTCCTTAATTAAGGGGTATTGGAGTCTCTGGGTCCTCTTGCAAGGAGGAGCCCATCATGGAGGCCGCTCTTCTGGGCAGGGTGTGGCTCAAAGCCCAGGGTGACTATAAGGGTGGTTGTTAAAATTGTGGCACCTTTTTGGGTCCCTAATATAGTACGGCACCTAATATTTAGGGTACCCAAAAAGGAACCCTAATTTTGACAACCACCCCAGAATAAGATAAGGGCACCCATTCCGCTGACCAGCGAGTTGCAGTCCATCTACTAGTTACTACTACCCCTACTGACTCACTGCAGCGCGAGTACGACGACGACTACCACTACTACAACTACTCCTGCTCCTCCTCCTGGTGCTGCTACTAATGATACATACTCACAGTTGTCATCATCATCATCATGCTACTAGCAGCAGCACATCTACAGCTTCGAGAAGACACATGCTTCCCATCTTTGCCAAGTACGCGTCTCGTCGAACAAGGTTCAGAGGGGCCAGCTTGGCTTCAGGACAACTGTTTCTAGCAGGCTGGTGCGAGGTCGGGTTGCGCGAAAATGTTATTGCAGACGGAGGTGCTGCACAGGTTTCGGACATCACTGTCCACACCCACGTCCTGAATCTTGTCCCAGAACAGCACCATTCAAGTGCAGGCCGTAAACTTCGGATTTGCAAACTCTGACTCCCAAACCCTATATACCCTTAGTATAGCTATTATATACCCATTATATAGCCCATTATAGGGTAGGAGTCTCCATTGAGGGTCCCTCCTTTTAAACCCTAAACCGTGCTCCGAGCCTCACCATAAAGCAGAGAGTCCAACGACAAAGGAAAGGCATGCCCTCAGGCTCCCAGCGCCGTTTTTCATGAAGTGTCTCTCTAAGCTTCGGAGCGACGCAAAGAGCACGAAACTACCTTAATATAAGGGCCGAAAAAGTTAGAATAGGGTCTTGGGGCCCATTATACCATGAATATAATCAGGAGGAACCTTCTCGATAAAACGTCGCATGTTTTCTGAATCTCGTATTGCGCCTCCTCGCACATGTTCAGGTGTTGGCGGGCGAGGAGAACGGCCCATCCTTTGCCGCGCGCTTGGCACGACTGGAGAGGTTGATGGCATCAATGCCACAGCAGCTGGAGGCAAAGGATTCGCGAGGTTTGGAGTTTATGCCTTGCAGGGGCTGTTAGTCCGAGGGTGTTTTGAATTTGTGTCACACAACCTGGGTTAGGTTTGTTTGCAGTGACTCCTGCTGTCTCGAAGTTGTACTAAGACTATAGGTCCGAAGTCCAACGTCACTTCAGGAGGGGGGCAAGTGGAGCAGATAGGATGCAGAAGCACTGGGTATATCCGGAGACCATCAAGTGTCGAAACAAATTGCATGACCGACGGACGGCTCAGCAGAGCATCATGGGACTTAACAAGTATGGTTATAAGTACCTTAATTGGGGTTATAAGTAATTATCACCGGAGTTGCCTTATTTATAACCCCGATTACTAAGTCCCATGATCCTTTAAGTAAATCTAGCACCAGGACCCAAGCATGGCACCTTCCCCTGAAGTCTAAAGTTTCAGAAGCTCGAGAAGGGTTTAGGGGTTTTGGGTTTAGGGTTAATAGCAGCAACATCTAGCTCCCAAGCCCCGCCGAACCCTGAATCGCAAACCCTACACCCCAAACCTTAAACCCAAAACCCTACATTAGCAAAGGTTGCACCCTAAAATCAAACCCTAAATCCAACACCCCAAAACTAGACTGACGATAAGCCTCCAGAATCTATGATGTCGAACTATGAGGATGTGCAAATTTGTGTGTATATATACATATATATATATGTATATATATATATATGTATATATACACACACGCACATATACATGCATGTATATACACATAGACATATGCATGTGTGTATATATATATATGCACATATACACATATGCACACACATGCATCTAGACAGACAGGCAGACACCCACACACACGCAAACCTTTCCCAAAGTCCCTGTGAGACCTTGCACCGACGCATTGACGGGCTGGTCCTCACGCGGGCCCCGGGGACGTTGGGAACGCCCGGGGAGCGGCCCAAGGAGGTCGGAACCCCGGATGCTTCGGTTGATGATATAAGTCCTGCATTACCTTAAAGACCCTAGACTGTGGGAATTATGGGATATTCCTTCTTATGGGTAATGCAGGATTTATATCATCAACCGTTCTGAGGCGTTTACATGCGAATACAGGGTTTGGGTGTATAATGTAGGAACCTGATTAAGAAACCTTGGGCCTGCAACCCCAAAATAGTAGGATTCAAATAAGGAGCCCTCATAAAGGGTCAAAGTTTCTTAATCAGGTTCCCACATTATTCTAATCGGTTTGTAATAGGGAACCCTAAGGAATGGTCTTGTTGGCAAGTGGTTTTGGAGTACACAACGTGATGGAGGGCCGCTTGGTTTTCTGTTAAGATTAAGATTGGGGCCTAGGTGATCACCAACAATCTTGTGGGGTTCCTGTTTATGCTATGCCCCGAAAACCTTCATCTAATTATCAAGCCCGCGAAATGGGGTTACGGGTTTCCCGTAAGCATTTACTAGTACCTCAAAGGGCCACAAGCTTCAGTGGTTTGGGGTTTTGCGGGGTTTTGCGGGGGGTTTTCGGGGGGTTCTGAGATTTGGGGCTGTGGGGGTTCAGGAGACGGCTGGGGCATCTTTTTAGTTAAGATTTGGATGTTTGTCAAAGTAAGATCGGGTATCTGCGTTGCATATGGGTGGTTGTCAAAATTAGGGTCCCTTTTTTGGGTCGTTAATATAATACGGCACCTAATATTTAGGTTACCCAAAACGGGACCATGATTGTGACAACTACCCATATGGGCATTGACTTCAGGGTTCTACATCCCCAGATCCTCAGGGACAGTGAACCAAAAGCCAGCGATCCGATGATCCCTGAGCACGAAGCCTCCGAAGAGGTCAGAACGGAGGACATCGAGGGTCACAACCCGGCTGCCTCCATCGCTGGTACGGAAGTTTTAGCATCGGCGACCTCCCAGCCCCTGAGGTAAAATTGGCGTTTGAAGGGCTGGGACACAGGTTAGTCACAAAAGCTGGCTCTTCAGGAGTACGTGGCAGTTGTTGCTTACCCCATTCGTTCATGCGCCTCGTGAAGTAATTGGAGCAGGTCTGCCCACTCCCGCCACGAGGGCCTGCTAAAGCCTTCTCTCCAGGTTTACTTGGAGGGGCAGGGGACTTAGTAAGTAGGTCATAAGTAGAGTTATAAGTACCCTAAATGGAGTTTACCCCAGTTATAACCCTACTTATAACCCTACTTACTAGGTCCCCTTTCTCTCCAGGTTTAGGGGCATGATGTGCCACACGAGTGTTCATCTGTTGCCGGTGACGTGCTAGAGCTCCCTCCGCTGCAGCGCTTCGTCCTCCACCTCGCGTTTGCCCCTAGTATAGGGGCTTAAATAAGTACCTATACTATTGGGGGGCGGTTCCTAGTTATGGTAAAAGTAGAATGGGCCCCAAAACCCTTTTTTAAATCCTGCTAATAGCCCTTATAGTAGCCGTTATAGACCCCTTTAACAAGAACCCTTTAAAGGAACCCTCTTCTAATTATTTAGGCCTATTTTTTCAGCTTTTCAGGCCGAGGTCCAGATTCTAGTTCAGCGTTGCCAGCCGCTGACTTCCCCCAGACCCTTAGCCAGAGAGCCAGAAACGGGATGTATGTCGCGGCTGAACTTGTCAGGTTCTCTTGTCTTGCTACAGCTCCCTCATTTGGTTCGGAAAGATTCTGCAGAGCTATCGTCAGCAGGCCCTAACCAGCAGCCCTAAATCTTAAACCCTAAAACCAGAAACTCCCATATCAATTACATTAGGGATCCTACTATAGGGTATAATCCTAATTTCGGGGATATTTTAGTCTCTGAGAACCCAGTCGCAAGTCCAGGTTCACGGCACTTCACCAGGAGCTGACGAAGATCCGCCAGGAGAGCGAAAGGGAAGAGAGAGACTTCGTAGCGGAGTGGATACACTTTACACTTTTTGGCATAGTATTACCCACTCAAAAACTAAAAGTGTACACTTTTTGGGGGCTTCTGAACTCAGCCACTAAGAAGCTTCAAATCCAAAGCCCTGAACCCCTACACCCTAAACCCCTAAACCCCTAAACCCCTAACCCCTAAACCGTAACCCCTAAACCCCTAAACCTCAGCAACTAAGGAGAAGAGGAGGAAGAGGCGCAGAGAAACGTTTCCGGAAAGCAAACTCGGCTTCTGGGCTTCTACTTGGAATGGCAGGGGACTTAGTAAGGGCTCCTTAAAGGGCTCCTTAAAGGGATCTATAGGGTTCCTTAAAGGGATCTATGGGGTTTAGGGTTTAGGGTTTAGGGACTTAGTAAGTAGGTTATAAGTAGAGTTATAAGTACCCTAAATGGAGTTACCCCAATTATAACCCTACTTATAACCTACTTACTAAGTCCCCTGGGCTTCTATATGGGAGTTTCCGAAAATAGGGGTACCTTATTTTGGGAGATTAATAATAAGGATCCTACTATTTAGGGTACTATATTAGGGTCCCCTCTTTTGGGAAACTCCTATATTGTAGGATTTCATCATCGTAACGTTAGTGGTAAGAATATCATGAGTATAGCAATCGTCATACTGGTTCAAAATACTTATATTTTAATGTTTTTTGGATGTGGCAGTGATGCACATGCTGCCTCTGCTGCGAATGTCCTAAACCCTCCGCCCTAACTTGCCGCAGCTTCGGCCTTCCGCTGAGGTTCATGTTGATGCCCGGAAGCATGTCTCTGACCATCGTCCCTTTGGGGAAGAGGCTCCTGGGCTCTTATGCCAAGGCATTTACAGGGGGTTTACGTGTTTAAGGTGTAAGGGATTAGGGGTTTAGGGATTTATGTGTGTTGGGCGGTGCAGGGGCTTAGGTCTCATTTACAAACACGGTTCCTTGTTATGGTGGGTGGTTGTCAAAATTATGGTCCCTTTCGGGGTCCCTAAATCATAGGTGTCGTACTATATTAAGGACCCAAGAAGGGACCATAATTTTGACAACCGCCCGGTATCTGAAGTTAATTTCCTTAACAAGAACCAAGGCTCTTCCGCCTGGGCACTGGCCGACTCGACACCTCCGGCACCCAGCAGTACTCCCCGACACTTCTTCGCCTCTGACAGTATATGTTTTGCTTGCGTGCTGCTTCTTCCGCTCATTATCGAGGGTTTAGAGTGTAGCAATATTGGTTGAAATCGAAAAACCCTACCGGATGACGAAATGCTGCTGAAGACGAACAAGAGGAATATCCCTGAAGCCAAGGAGCGTTTACAGTCTGCCAAGCAACTGTTGGGGAGCACTCTCACTTGTGGGGCGACTCGGCCAGACACTTGGGAGTTTCCGAAAATAAGGGTACCTTATTTGGGGGACCTGATAATAAGGATCCTATTATTTAGGGTACTATATTAGGGTCCGCTATTGTCGGAAGCTCCCATTTAGAAATCCCTTCTGAGCTACCCACGATGCCCAGTATAGCCCAGGGAAGCGGAAAGGGAAGCCCCAACTCCCCGTGCATGAGGTATACTCAGTTATAAAGGGACTCTTAAGGCGATTGTGCTCTTTGGAAAGTGTAGCATAGTTGAGTCGCTGTCCTTTGATACGATGCCGGGCCTAAACCCAAAACCCTAAAGCTGCTAAACCCGAAACGCAACACCCTAGACTCCAAAACCCTACGTGGGAGTTTCTGAAAGCACGGGGCTCCAAATCGGACCTTGAACTCCGCCTCAACGGCATGGCAAAGCTTCCGTGCTGGATTTAGCCTCCCACTACTACTGCCACCACGACTACGACTTCAGTTTTCAGGCTTCAGGGAGGGCCAAGTGCCAGCCTGGGCGGCACAAAGCTGACACCGAGAAGACAAAGAGGCAAAAACAGGAGCCCAAAGCAGTTCAAGCACTCCCACACGGGAAGGTTCAGTGGTTTTTTTACATGCCTGCAAACCCAAATCCTCTCCCCAAAAAGAAGTTCCCTCAGGGCCCCTGCAAGGCTCGGACTCCAAAGCTCGGCTTTGCGAGAACATATATCCTATTGTGGTATAGTAGCATAGTATTTTAACGTATAGGATTGAGACTAGTATGGTAGAGTATGGTAGAGCGCAGTCATGATGTATCATGTTATACTATATTCGATTATAGCTTAGTATAGCGCAGTATAGTGCAGTATGTTGGGCTCACACACCCCCAAAGGCTTAAGCACCAAAACATAAGGCTTCCGATCTAAATCTCGAGGTGATACCAAAGCTCCCAAAACAGAGTAGAGCTCCCATCATCTTCCAAAGAGATAAGGTAAAAGCCAGAAAGTTGGAATATGATTATCCTTATCCTTCTATGGTAAATTATAGGGTATCCTACCATGAAACCATATTCCAACTTTCTGGAGTTCCCTTTAAGGCTCCAAGAGTTCGGTTCTACGGCATCCGGTCTCACTCTGCTTGGGGCGACGCTCGCCGCCCTCGTGCAGCTGCTGCCCCTTGAACGACAGAGTTGTCTCGAGGTGATAACACGAGTCTTCAGATGCCCTGATATAACTCTAGTGTATTCTCCAAACACCTCAGCCTGGCTATCCTGCACACCTAGACCCCTTACCTTACAAAGCCTCGAGCGCTAACCCAAAGCACCCTTGTAGCAGCCGAAAGGAGCATTAAACCGCTGAATGCTCAAAAACAGTTCTGGAACCCTAAAAGGTGTTGTAAACTAATTGAACCCCATGCTTCTAGATGCCCACAGAACCTTAGACCCTAAACCAGAAAGCGTATGAGCACCTGAACAAAAGCCCTGAAACCCCTCAACCCCTTTACACCGTATGGAGCCGTATGGTTTTAGGGTTTAGCCCCAGAAGCCCAGTGTGTCACACCGTAAGTAATTACCTCTACTATTTCGTGGGCTCCTTAATATAATGATAATATGATGGGTCCCAAAACCCTGTTCCAATTACTGAATAAGTGTGTCGAGCGACTGAGCAGAGGTTCTGCCTGGTGCTGTTCCAAGGGCTCCTGGACACTCCACGCGACTGGGCTCTACGGTTTTGGGTCTACGTAAAGGGATCTATAGGGTTCCTTAAAAAGGGATCTATGGGGTTTAGGGTTTAGGGTCTACTTGAAAGCTCATGGGACTTAGTAAGTAAGGTTATAGGTAGGTAATAATTAGGATAACCCCACTTCGGGGACTTATAACCCCAATTATAACCTACTTACTAAGTCCCATGATCCTTTAAGCAGGGTTTTGGGTCTACCGGGCTTGGGTTAGCGTTAGGGCTCGGTAGGGGTTGTAAGGGTTTGCTTCAGTCTGAGTTGCAAGACTTGGCTGCAATCTGGCTGGCGCTTAGCACTTGCAACTTATTCGGTGACTATCTGCTCTTAACCTGGAGTCGAAATATTGAAACAGAGAGAGAGAGAGAGAGGTTTATATATATATATGTATATATATATACACACATACACATATGGATAGACGCATACATGTTTTCCGTATCATGGTAGCTCACACTAGATTCCTCAGCTAGACTCGCCCAGCACGCTGTATGTACCTAGCTGTACATATATATGTATGTATATGTAAATATTTACTTATTTATTCATGTGTTTACATGGTCACACATACGTACAAGCATGTTTGTTTGCGTTCATACCACAAGAAAAGTGAGTTCAGGTGACGACAGCGTCCTTCGCGATTGGCGCGTGCTGGGCCACAGCGCGGCCTCTCGGATCTTCTTGAGCTTTGGATCTGGAGATCCACATGAGGAGTTTCATAGGAGGCCAAAAGGGGTTTTAGCCTATGAGGGTTTGGCAGGGTTAGGGTTCCCATAATGGGGTTCATATTAAGGAATCCCTACCCCAAGAATCTAAAATCACCCTTTTGGCCTCCAATCAGAGTTTCAAAACATGAGTGTACAGAACATCGACAGGGAAAAGCAAGCAAGATGGGATTTGAGTTTTCGGAATGGTCCAACATGCTATCCCCTACAGTTCCTGTATCAGTAGGCTACAACATACCCAAACTCCCCGTTCCAACTCTGCAGCCCCCTACGTTGCGTGTTCCTGTCTTAAGGACTCCCTACAAGAAGGATGCTATTGCAAAATGCATAGTACGGTTGATGATAAAAATCCTGCATTTTTTTGGTAATGCAGGGTTTTTATCAGCAACCGTAGGGCTTATGGGTTTCTGAAATTCACCGCATCCCTGCAATCGGCTTCGGGTTTTGTGGTGTAGGGTGTTGGGTGTTACTATAGTCTGTTTTTGTTCATATAAAACCCAAGAGAATATTTAAAATATTACATATTTGTATTATGGTTCCAAGGGGTGTTGGGTGTTACTATAGTCTGTTTTTGTTCATATAAAACCCAAGAGAATATTTAAAATATTACATATTTGTATTATGGTTCCAAGGGGTGTTGGGTGTTACTATAGTCTGTTTTTGTTCATATAAAACCCAAGAGAATATTTAAAATATTACATATTTGTATTATGGTTCCAAGGGGTGTTGGGTGTTACGGTTTTGGGGTGCAGGGTTTGGGATTTAGGGTCGGGGCTTGAGGTTGAAGGCTTCTTGGGTTCTGTGTTTCGAGTTCTATAGCTTTGGGGTTTGGGGTTGTGGGTGTTTGCGTGGGCACTTCGCTTTGGGGCTTTGGCATGTTCCTTAGATGATGAGTAGTGCAGGATTTGGCCCATCAGCAGATGCTTGGGTAAGAAGCCGGAGGCCACTTTGAAAGAGGCTCTTTTCTTCTTGGCGTGCCCTTTGCACTGCATCCTGCCCTCAAGATTTCAGGGAAGCAACCAGGACAGAAGACTGGCCGTAGCACTCCCGCAGTGGCCATGTTTGTGAGAGTTTAGGAAAATGAGGCTGGCTTGTAGAATTTCTGAGGAAGAAATCCACCCATCACTCGTGCCTATGCATGTTTTACAAACATCTGTATACATGGGTGCTTATGTGTTTGTATTTAAGTTTGTACCTATGTTCATATTCATGTATGTATATACATAACTGCATATGCCTAAGGGTACCGCATCCTGCAACACTGGGCTGGGAAGTTCCGTCCACTTTCCAGGCCTTGCACTAGTATGACACCCTTCTAGTTTTAATACCTAACCAGTAGAGTAACCCTTGCATTTAGTAACCCTGAAAGGAACCTCAGAACCTGCATCACCCAACCAACACAGAAACCCTTAACGGAACCCCTAAATCCTAAACCCTAAACCTTAAACCCTAAACCCTGAACCCTTCAGGCCTTCTACGACCCGGTCTCAAAGACCTCGCTGGCCGGTCGGCTCTGCCGAAACGGACACTTTGGTCTGGGCGAGGTTATCGAGGAGGTGCCCGGTTTAGGGACTAGGGTTTAGGGTTTAGGGACTGGGTTCCGGGTTTAGGGACTAGGGTTTTGGGTTTAGATAAGGCCCTAAACCCTTGGTTTTACAAGCAGGTGCGAGGCTTCCTGCAGCCGGCCTTAGCGCAGCTTTCTGTGGGCGTCCTGCTCAGCAGCACCTCCGTTCCAGAACTTAATGCTTTGGGTGGTTACTTAAGGTGTTGTGCTGGGGATTGGAAGGACTGAAAAGGAAGTTTTTGGTTATTGCGTGTCCAAACAGTGTTGCTTATGGAGTTGCATTGGGTCTCTGATCAGGGTGCTCGGGTTCTTTTTTTGTTTTGGAGGAGATCCCACCTGCCCGTGGCCCAAAGCTTACCAATGCTGTCTCGGGCCAAGCGACAGTAACCTGCAGCAACTCTTGAAAATTGCAAAGGCATGGCGGTTCTTATCTGGGCGTGCTACGTCACCATCGAGGTGGAAGCAGTCCTCAGCTTGGTGTGCCCAGTCTTGCAGAGAAGCTCTAAGCAGCCTGAGAAAAGCTGTCAACGGGTCCAAGATGTTGCCTAATCCAGTTTAGCTGTGTTTCTGTTGGCTGCAACATGTTGTTCCCTTGTAGGCGGAGATTGCTCGATAATGTTGAAAACGGGCTTAAGGGTCCTACGGCAGGGACAACAAAGTGGAAGCCAGCCAGTCTACGTCTCAAAGATTATGTCTCACATGGGGTGAGGTCCAGCTCCATGACCACAAGAGACCTTTCTGGTGGGACATCCGGGCAGCTTGCGATCAGGCCCTCATAGAGCCCTGAGGATCCTCATAAGGTATAAACTGCACGAGCTCCTGCCTACCAAGGTGTGCACTACACAAGCTCCCGCCGAAGACAACCATTGTCGAGCAAGCAGAAGGCTACTTGAGCTTTCGAAGCATCAGCGAGCCCTGGCATGCTTAAAGGATCATGGGACTTAGTAATTGGGGTTCCTTTAAGGGGTCCCTTTAAGGGATCTATACTGGTACTATAAGGGTTTAGGGTTTGGGGTCTACTTAAAGGATCATTGGACTTAGTAATTGGGGTTATAAGTAAGGTAGCTAGAGTTAGAATTCCATATAACCCGAACTAACGTACTTATAACCCTGCTTACTAAGTCCCATTGATCCTCCAAGATCTGGTGTTGATGCGATTGCCTGCTGCCCAGAAACTTAATGCATGTCTCCAGGCAGGGTTCCTCCACTGATGTTTTGGCGTAGTCTCAAATAATGCGAGAAGGGATACTTATTTAAAACAACACCGCTGCGATTCGGCGAACGTTGAATCATCGCACCGGCCTGGAGTGCCTACGTGTTGTAATAGACGTTAAGATCTCTGCATCTAAGGAGAGAGAGCTCAAATCGACCAACTTACAAATTTCTGCTAGTTTACCCCCGAATCCTTGTCGGCAACTTGTAACAAAAAGGAGGTGTGCTGCAGGGACCAATCACCGCATTTGTCTAGATATTGCGGATAAGATGATAGCAATGGTACTGGTACTTCGTTGTCAGCCATGTTTGTCATGGTGATGCTTCTGAAAAGGGCAGGTTTACCTCCAATTTCGATACGAGGAGTTCCTAGAGTGCAAGTGAGTAACCGAAATCTTGGTATCAGTCCTACCAGTTAGACGCATAGCATCTAGGGCATGAAAAACATAGCGAGGAGCAAGAATAATACACGGGCCTAGAATACTATGTTGGGGGGTCCTTCTCATGATACAAGAATTGTCCCCGAGACCCTAGTCTAATTGTTAAGGCCCGTATATTGGCCCAGCCCTTCGCAGATCCAGGACGAGCGCCGCCTGGGCGTCTCCTTCCTCCTCTTTTGCCGCTCCGGGGTACCTGGCTCAGGATCATATGAGAAACCAAGGCTCTTAACTTCTAACCATAAGGGTTTCTTTAAGGGTTCCTTGAAAGGGTTCTATCGGGTTGAGGGATTAGGGTTTAGGTTAGTTGTAAGTGGGCTTATAGGTAGGGTAACTATATGAGAACCAAGGCTTCGGTTCTTGGTAATACCCCTACTACCTTTAAAGGGATCCTTAAGGGTTCCTTTAAAGGGATCCTTCAGGGTTCCTTTAAGGGATCTATACGGTTTAGGGTTTAGGATAGGGGCCTTCGTAATTACAAATGCTATTTTGAGGGCTCCTTGTTTGGATTATAGTTTCATGGGCCCCGAAGCCCTATTCAAATTATTAAGGTCCCTATATTACTAAGTTACGGTTCGGGGTTTGGATCTTTTACCTTAGCTACTAAGTCCCAACTCATCCTTCAGGTACTGCTCATCCTGGGTTTCAGTGGTGGCGTCTGGCTGTCGAGGCCGGAAAAGGGTATCAATACACGATTAGGGGTCTAGGGTGCTAGGGTTCTGGGCTTCTGACGTTAGTATTTTCGAAAGTTTGAGGGAGCCATGGAAATCAAGGCCCGATGCAGTTCGCACTTTTCCACGCCTTCAGGCTACAGGACGTGGGAGGCATTCTCCACGACTGCGTGATGCTGGTCATGCTCCTTGGGATGCTTGAGTTGGCAGCAGACGCAGCCCAAAAAACGCGAATCATAGCGAGGTCGCAATGCAGGCGTACCGGTAGTTCGAACAATGACAACAGTGGTGGACGGCGCTAGAGGTGCAGCGCTAGTAGTAGTAGTAGTAGTAGTAGTAGTAGCAGCAGTGGTAGTAGTGGTAGTGGCATCAGCATCAGCATCAACTCTAAGCCCGAAGCATGAAGTCCTTTTTAGAGTTTAGGGCTTAAGGACTTAGTTACAAAGAAAAAAAAAGGGGCACTTTGGGCGGCCATCATAGGCATGGTCCGTTCCCCCGTTCCATAAGAAGAACCAGGGAGTTTTGACCTCACCCCCCAAGTTCTGCCAAGTGGAGAAGCACTTGTAACCACCGAGGATTCTGGGACTCGATGAACTGGCATACAAACTACTGGTGCCGCGTCCGGCGAAGACCTACGCAGGTGCACGCGCAGGGCAGTAGGAGCTTGCATCATAGGAGGCCAAAAGGGGCGGGGTTTAGTAGGGATTAGGGTTCCCGTAGTAGGGTTCATATTAGGAATCCCTACCCCAAGAATCTTACAACCCCCCTTTTTTGGCCTCCCATCATTACAGGCACAAGCACGTTTGAGGCGTCGGGCTCAAGGCTTCACTCGACATGACAAGGTACAGCCAGCGCAGACGCGCGCAGGTAGATCCCCCTTCCTTGGGATTAGCAGATCATTGGCAGTTTCAAGATATGCCATGAAGTTTGTCAGGAGGTTTCGGATGCTAGATGAGCCCTTGGTTGGGGTGTTTGCCCCTCGACAGGAGCCCCAAGGCTTTTGGCATCTGAAGGGCCCTTATACTTCTATCGCGCTCGGAGCTCCAAACCCCAAAGTCTCAAGCCCTACCTGAACCCCGCAAAACATACATAGGTGGTTGTCAAAATTAAGGTCCCTTTTTGGGTACCCTGAATATTAGGTGCCGCACTCTATGAGTGACCCAAAAAGGGACCATAATTTTGACAACCACCTGCATTTTCAGGACTCCTCATTGCGAGTGCCTTGTTGGCATCCTACACGGGTTCGGCTTTCTGGGATTGCGAGAGAGTCCTGCAGGTGCTATCAGGACCTTCATGTTCCAGGACGGCCACAAGACAACTCCCGGCTGCACTTTGGCAGCCATTGGGAAGCTGGGGGCTCTGGTCCTCTCCGTGGCCTTTCTCATCACTTTCGGCGGCCCGGCTGGTGTTGGGATCCAGGGGTTTTGGGGATTCAGGGTTGAGGCAACGACCCTCAAACAGCCAAGTTCAAACCCTATCGTGCGCTACGAGCGCCTAAACCCCTAAACCCCTAAACCCCTGAACCCCTAAACCCCTAAATCTTCCAAGTCACTCTAAACCCATAAAGCAGGCTTCGAGGGTTTAGCAGGCCCGTTTTAAACACCGACCCGTTAAGCTCCCTTAAGAACCATTCTAGGAGCCGCGTGAAGCCCGTAAAGAGCTCGATTCAAAGCTACTCTTCCAAGCCATGTTATATGATATTATGAAACCCTTCTAAAGCCATAAGAAGCCTTGGAAAAATTCTTGATATAACCCATTGGAAACCCTATAAAGCTCGTAGTAGAACCAGACATGAAGACCTTGAAAAAGCCCCTACCCCGTAGCAGCCTCCGGAAGAGTTTTTCTAAAGCCCTTGGACAAGCCCCAAACCCAAATACCCCCAACAAAAACCGGCTGAGAAGCCCGTGAATCCTAAACGACGAACCTGTTTAGAAGCCTTATGAAGCCCGTCGTCACAGCAACTATAAGCCCATTTGAGAAGGCACTGAATCCTAGCCGTCGTTTCGAGGATGCCTGCACAGCGGCGTCGTGGCCGATGAGGTGAGCGCCGTTTCTTGGAGCCGTCAAAGGTGAGTCTTGAACGTCTCGGAGCTTCGGGTGGTTTGAGGGTTCAAGGATTGCGGGGCAGGTTTGAGGGTTCTCGAGAGTTTCGGAGTTGAGGGATTTCGGTGGATTTTTCGGGTTTAGGATTTCCGACTTTGGTCTAGAGAGCCACTGGGACTGGGGCCTAGCGGATGCTTGGGGATGCCCCTCATTGCACCCTCAAAAGTTTCCGTTCTCCACAAGCCCCGGAAGAGCATTCCGAAAACCCTACGGAACGACGTCGCGCAAGCCATGAAAAGGATCATGGGACTTAGTAGTGTAACTACAGTTACAATTACTCATATCCCCAAGTAAAGGTACTTATAACCCTACTTGCTAGGTCCCATGATTCTCCAAGCAACTACCGACTACTGTGGGAAGCCCAATCCAAATAGCTTTCGAGCCCGAAGCCCTACCACGAAGCAGATCATAAGGACCCTTAGGGGGTAGGGGGCCTTAATTGCCATAATAAGGATTTAGTAAGGCTTATTTAAGAAAGTATGGTCCCCTACCCCCCCCTCCCCCTACTCCCCAAAGGGACCCTGTGGTGCAGAAGCTCTCACGTGAGGTCCTCTGTGGTGGCAACGTGGACTTCGTCACTTCGCTCCACCCAAGCCTTGGAGTTCCGATCGTGCTGGACGCTCGGAGCCGTTAGGAAAAAGTGTGCCGTGACATAGGGGCCGCCTGAATAATTACCAATACTATTTTTTGGGGGGTTCCTTGTGATAATTATAGTATGACGGGCTCCAAAACCTTCTTCGAATTATTGCGGCCACCACATTAAGCCGCCCCACCTGTTCTCAGGCTATAGATTGCATAGGCACCGGAGAAGTCAAGGAGCCTGAGATCCTTTGTCACGTAGCACTTGTAAGGCCGTATATTCAGAAGAGGTTATGGTTTAGGGTTTAGGGTAGCGTTGAATCTTGAAATCTTCGGAAGCATACTGCACCAAGTAAGCTTCAGAGCTGTGGAATCTTTTCATCGCAGCTGCATTTAAGTTGCCGGAGCTAAGCAAGCAAGCCAGGAGCCCTAATTCCCCGAAGCCGATATTATCCTCAAAACTCAGATATCCCGTAGAACAGCTTTAAGCCCGCGCAGATCTCAAAGCCCTGACCAAGCACCCTCCACCAAGGACACTGAAAGCCATGACTCTGCGAAGGCTGAGCAAATCCGGAGTTGGGCCCTGAGCTACGTGCCACAGCCGGAGCCATGGCTGTGACTTCCTAGAAGGCTTTGTAAAAGGCTTCATAGGGTTATAGCGCGAGGCCTTTAGCGATAAGAATAGGTCTTTTGGGTTATACTTTTGCGTTAGAACTATATCAAGCAACCCTGAGGAATACGACACAACTTCCAATGTTTCAAGTCCTTGTCATTGGGTTTAGGGTTTGGGCTCTCTGTGTTCCATTTCGGAGAGGTGCACCTCAATGCGCACAAAGCTTGCTCAGACAAGTTGAAAGACCTTTGCCCGAAAGTCTGCCGCCTGGGTTCCAGCCATAAGTCTAGAACTCTGCCCAGAAAGCTTCAAAAGAAAGGGAACACTAGGATCCAGAGTATGCCCTCATTCCCTTTTGTAGGGTTCAGGTTCCCTTATAACCCCCTTTAGACCACAGAGGGCACCCTTTCTATTCCTAGGTTACTCTGAGGTCTAGATCCCCTAGAGCCCTTATAGAACCCTTTAAGGAGCCCTTATGGATCCCTGTAAAGGGCACCCTTTTTATTCCTAACTCTGAGGTCTCGAACATCAGCCTCCGGCCCTTAAGGTGAAGTCTCGAAATCCCTCGGCACTCCTCATCCGTAGTCCCGGTACCAACTTGTGCGGGGCAGTGCGAGCCCCAAGAAAATCCCTAAGCCCTAAGCCCTAAACCCTGAAAGGGACTAATGCACTTGAAAAAAAAACCTTAAGCCCTAAAGACAAGGACCAGGCCTACTTCAACATCACGCTCCTGCAGGGCGCCGTCGCCGTAAGGCGAGTGGGATCTTACGAGGACGCTGGGGTTTGAAGGGTTTGTCTGCTGGGGTTTCAAGGGGGCTTGAGAAGGGCTTGAAGTTCAGGGTTTGAGAAGGGGTGTCTCCTAATTCTCGAAGGGGGCTTCAACCACCTTCTGAAGCCCCCTTTCACCATGGTGTTAGAATGTTTCATGGTATATCCGCTCTTTCCCGGGTTTTACGGGATCTGTTGCAAGGGTTTTAGAGGGCTCTATAGTTCTCCAAGAGCATGTGAGGACAGCTCCGACTCTTCATTTCCGTTCGCACCGGTGAAATAATTTGTCGGAGGACGCGAAATCGATAGCATGACAAAGATAAGACGAACGAAGGGTGCTGAACATGAAGACAGCACTGGGAAAGGTCTCGGTTCCCACCACCCCAAAACTCGTTGAGCTTCTTCCGTAATATGCTCCTACAGTCGAGCTCCAGCTCTTTACCTTCCCTGTGAGGCTGCTTCTGAGCAGAAAATGAATCATCTCGGTGCACGTTTCGATTTCAGGGTCCGGCTGCTGTGCATTGCTTCGAGGAGCTACAAGCATACTTGGCCCTCACGGACCGCGAGGTGGGGGCAACCTTCCTCATAGGGATTTCGCAGATCAGCTCAGTGTCGGACTTTCGAGGGGACTGCAAGCCGCTTCTTCCGGCGCGTCTGCCTTATCGTGAGCGATTCAACTCTTCCAGCAGAACCTCAACCGGCACCCTTTAAACTCTGAGCACCCCGAGAATTTATGGCCGGGTGAACCACGGCATCAGCCTCATCAGCAGTAGCAGTCGTCGTCGTGGTGGTGGTAGCAGTAGCAGTAGCAGTAGCAGTAGCAGTAGCAGTAACAGCAGCAGTGGTAGTAGTAGTAGTAGTAGTAGTAGTAGTAGTAGTAGTAGCAGCAGTAGTAGTAGCAGCAGTAGAAGAAGTAGCTGTAGTAGTAGTAGTAGCAGTAGTAGTAGTAGTAGTAGTAGTAGTAGTAGCGGTAGTAGTAGTAGCGGTGGTAGTGGTAGTGGTAGTAGTACCAGTAGTACCAATAAAAATAGTACTCGTAGTAGGTCAGGCATCGGTCATGTGTCATCCTCGTCATCATAGCGTCCATCATCCTGTTCAGCATCCTCGTCAGCACGTCGTCGTGCCCAGTACACCAATTACACAATTCTCAGCGAGATCCTCGACCCCGAAACCCCGTGAAGCCCTAGAGTCCCAAGACCTAAACCCTCGCGGCAACCCAAGAGCCTGACTTTTTCAAGGAAGAAGAGGGAACCTCTGGGTTGGACCTGATCTGCATTGGAGGTTCATGGGTAGTTATAAGTGGAGTTATAAGTCCCTTAATATGGCTTAAAACTGTAGTTACCCTACTTGTAAGCCGATTTATAACTGCCCATGAACTCCCACCTGCATTGGAACGCAGGCCTCAGAGCAAGGCTTTGGCACCGGATGCCAGGAGCTGGGTTACTGTAGGGTCATACTATACGAGGAACTCCCTCATGTTCGCTGTTTGCTTGGGCTTCAAAGGGTTCCTATGGGGATTATGAGATTTACGAGGGGAACAATTGGCATCTGGGACTTGTCAGCCTGGGCTTGCACAAGGTAGCTTTCAGCATGCGGGGTCCTTCTGTCAGGGATGCTTCCCTGTTACGTAGTGGATTTAGCCCCTTGGAGTTTTCCACCTTCTGACCGGAGTTGAGTAAGGCCGGTTCATACAAAGCCTCAGGCTCAGCGCGCATCACTGGTACAAGTTGAGATGCCTATGACGCCCCACGCATGAGCAACGTACAACTGAACCCTAGAGTTTCAATCTCAACCCTCTATGCTTTCCACCTGAGCCTAGTTTTATGGCTTGAAAAATCAGGAACAATAACCCCTTAGACTTTTCATGTACCCCCAAACCCCTAGCCAAATTTTCTAACGTCCCTACATTCCCCATCCCAAAACTGCGGAGGATCTCGGCCGCGATTCTTCGGAAGGTGCCTGGCTTTGGCCTTCCCTTGCTGCGGCAGGGGCGAGCAACTGCCAGCAGGAGGGGCGCGAGACCGGAATGCTCACGCTAATGATGACCATCATCACCGGAGTCATCATGAACACCCCATGAGTCACAATGATGATTGACGTAGCGGCCGGCATCGGCCTCCACATCCTCGTAGCAGGGTTAGGGCTACCGTTGTTAACATCATCGTCATGTTCATCACCACGATCCACGACACCGGCAGCACAGACAAAAGCGCTGCATGTGTTGTTGTGGGCCTTTCTGCCGTGCTTCAACTCATGACTCGACGATGCTTTAAGACTTCAGAGACTTTAGCCTCTGCGAATTTGTGACGGCTCAATGGACCCGCTCATTTGAGCGCCTTAGTATGTATGCCTTCATTCGTATCTACGTAGATAAATGCTTACATACCCGGACCCCAGACCCGGACCCGGGAGGATGCGAAAGCCACCCCGCCCCCCCCAAAGCAAGAAGAAGAAGAACAATCTCATCCCCGAGTTGGGCAGGCGTATTCCTTGTGTGACCGTCGAGATCTTCCTTTGGCTCGGATGCTCTGCCCAGAGACCTGCGGCTTCCTGATCCTAACTTCCGGAGACGTCAGGGCGACATTCTGGGTATTCGGAAGTAATGGTACCACCCAGCAAGCAGGAGCAAGAGTACGTAGCAGTTTAACAGTAGTAGCGGTGGTAGTGGTAGTGGTGGTAGTAACTGTACATCTAAATCGCCGTGTCGAGTTCAAGCTCGTTTGGCGAGGTGGCGTGTGCGGCTCAGTGTTCACATGTCAACTTATGTAAGAGGTCTATGCGTGGTTATGGCAGAGACAAAAGCAGTCAGAGACGAAGGCAGCAGTTCTTGACATTACACGGATGGCTGCAGTAGACATGTTTCCGAAGATCAGAAGCTTAGAGCCACAAGGTCCAAAACGGGTGTCGCAGAATTGCAGCAGAGCGTCGTCCCCCATCTTTCCACGAAGTAGTCGAGACTCTCCTTCTTGCTTTTCCGGTATGTCGGGGGACTAGTAAGAATATACAAACTTACAAGTATCATAACCCCCATAAGGATCCCTTTTCGGTGCCTCTGTGAAAATACTTATTTACTAAGTCCACCGGCCCGGCAAGATAGCGAACGCCCATCCGAGGCTGCTTGGATTCGGCCGCTGGTCTCTACGTCAGCAACGGCTGCAGGCGGGGCGCGGGTATCCGACCTCCTGCCTTAATAATTAGAATAAGGTTCCTTTAAAAGGGTTCTATAAGGGTTACTATAGGGGTTACTATAAGGGGTTAATGTAGGAGCCTTAGTAGTTAGAATGCACTATAAGTATAGTAAGGAGGCCTCCAAAACCCTATTCCAATTATTGAGGCCCCTAACTTAGTTTCCTTGACCTCCCCAGTTGGGCCACGTCCTTCATCAACGTTGTCTATGAAGCCTTTCCGGCCTTTCTCCGCAAAAGCAGCCTAAGCTAGACCTTTCTTTGCTTCTGTTCGTTCTTTTGGTGGCCTTCCACTCGTGTTGACCTTGTTTTGGTGTTCAACGAAGTTACGAGAAACAAGCCCTAAACCTCAAGAAATCCAAAATCTTGAGGCTGCAGTGGCACCAGCAGGCTTGCTTTGTTTGTGCTTCCTAGTTGTCCGTTTACTCGGAGTGCTCCCTGCACGGATGTCGTTGATCAACGCTACACTTTGGTTTGGGGCCTGATCTGTGTCCTTGGAAGTTACTGCTTTTGGTGTTCCTTCTTATAATTACAGTATCTTGGGCAGCTAGAACCTTATTCTAATTATTGAGTCCCCTATCTATACGGGCGGTTATCAAAATTATGGTCCTTTTTTGTGTCCCTAATATAATACGGCACCTACTCTTTCGAGTACCCAAAAACGGACCTTAATTTTGACAACTACCCATATTATGCAGGGAGATTCTTAACGTCAGATGCCTGGGGGTCGAGACACAAAGGGCTAAGAGAAGGTAATGCCCTGCAAGTCCTCGGCCATCGCATTATGACATGTAGTAGTATATTGTAGCATACTGTAGTATGTTAGAGTATATTATGGTATAATATTGTATAGTAGACTTCCAACTGGCACAACAAGTCAAGCACCGTGCTTGTGTCGGGAGATGGAAAGAAACGTTGTGTGCTGGGGCCCTAAGAGCGTGGGCACTGGTTTCAGATTGTGCACCTCCCCATTAGGGTTTGGGGTTTAGGGTTTTCATAAGGGTTCTACAGTATAAAACCTTCAACCCCGCAAGGAAGGCTGATGAAATGGGCTAGCCCCGCCGGTGTCTCAGGCAGCTTTGCCTCCAGGAGGTTGACACCTTTAACGAGTCCCTTCGCACGACGCCATGCGAGGACGGAGGGTCCGGGCTACAGGGTTTTGGGCTCAATGGAGGGGCCTTAATATAATTACCCATACTCCTTTGGGGGGTCCTTCTTGTATGGGCGCCAAAACCCTATTTTAATTACAAAGGCCCCTTGTTTAGGCTTTAGGGTTGGGTCTCTCCACGTCGACGGGCCGTGATATTGCTACTCGCAAGCTGTCTGGTGCAAGGGCAGGCTCATGAAACGCAGCTCGCAACCTCCTCAAGGCTCCAGCTAGGAAGCACGGGGTGCTATGTACATAGCACAGCACAGCCTGGGTTCCTCTAAAGGAACTTAAAACAAGTTGCCATAATAGGGATCTACGGTAAATATTATGGCTTCTTTGTTATTAGCACTCATCTACTTCGCTTTTGGAGGCGGGGAAACGGGGCCCAGAAGCAAAGCCAGGACCTCCGAGCGCAGGGCGATTATCGAAGGACCGCCTGGTCCCGGCGGCTTGCCTTAGAAGCTGCATACTACACATATATATATATATATATACATTATATTTTAGATATATATGCATACTAGATGTCGATATATATATATATATATATATGCATACTAGATGTCGATGGAGCTTTTTGAAGTTTTCTTATTGTTTAGCATAGAGCTCGAGCAAACGATCCACAATGCTGAGTTGTCCGCTTTGTTCTCGAAAACAGCAGCCAGCAGCGCGATCCAAAAATCAAAGCTCGAAGATCCTTTCGCTTCCTGCAGCCCAGGTGGTGGGCAGGCTTCTACCAAGCCCACGACAATGACTCCACCGTTGAGGAAGCGATGATCGATTTTGCCAGGAACGGGGCCCAAGGCGACTGCTCCTTCTTGAACACCCAGGAGACCTGGTTCAGGGGATTGTGCTGGACGAAGCTTTGGCACGTCGCAATCAGTTCCTTCGCTGCCGAATGCGGGCGTTGTCAGGTGTCTCGCATTGCCGTACCCCAGCCTGCAGACGTTTTAACCATGCCCTAGCAGGACTCCATTCGGGACCGATTCTGCCGTGGAGGCAGTGACCGTCCTGGCACCGCAATTTGCCCCGTCACTTGTGGCTGCACCTCCGCACCCTGGCCCAATAGCTTTGTTAGGGTCTTTTTTGCGTGGTGCGGATCTTTAAGCTCGGTGGTTGCGTCGAAATCAGTTTCTTGCCAAGTTGCCGGAGGCTGCAATGGGTGTTGCTGAGTTAAACCCTCAGACCCGCGAAAACCCTAAGGCCTAACAAACCCTACTTGGAGGATCATGGGACTTGGTAAGTAGGGTTATAAGCACCTTAATTGGGGTTATCAGCAATTATAACTGTAGTTACCTTACTTATAACCCCAACTACTAAGTCCTATGATCCTTTAAGTAAGCAGTAGAACCTTTGGGATCGCTCCGCTTTGTTGCCCAGGGCGCGATCTCCGACTGGTGCCCCAGCAGCTGCTGAAGAAAGGAAGGGATGGAGTAAGTTCTATACTCGTGACTAGTGGTTTCCGGTTCTATTTACACTAGAACCCCAACATCAAGATCTTAGTCTAATAAGGTCCCAAGTAGACTCGAATCGCCGGGATTCCTGGTGGCCACTCTTCAGCTGTGCTTGGGTCGACAGTGAGATCCCGGACACAGTTACAAGGTCAGGGTTGAGGTTAGACCTGTGGGTTTGAGGGTCGAAGACTCCCGGACCTCAGCCATGAACTCTAGGCTCTTCTTAAGGAGTTTAGTTTAAGTTATCATGGTAATAGGGATCTATGCTAACTAGTTTAAGTTATCAGAATAATGGGGATCTATAGTAACTAGTTTAAGCTCTCCTAACAATAGGGATCTATAGGAAATAATACGGTTTCCTTATGAGGCAACTGAAATTAAATCCTTTAGCAAGAGCCCAGATGAACTCTGGACCTTCGGATTTTTCCACCTGCCTTTGGTCCAAGACTTGCACTCGCCCGAAGGGCTGTGCGTCAGGGAACCGACGCCGAAATTCAAGTTCATTCCGGCTCCGGCGGCTTCGGTGCTCTAGGGTTGAGGGTTTAGGGCTTAGGGTTTAGGGTTCAGGATCCAATCCGTGTCGGTCGCTGTAAGTAGCTCACTTTCGTGGCAGCTCAACGACCCGTCTTACACTCCCATCAGCTTCCAATGCCGATTCCTTGCCTTAGCTTCTAAAAGTCTGAGCCTCTGGTTCCACGCAAGCTGGAGGCTGGCTGCAGTGAACATCCCCACACAACTCGTCGGCCTGGCATTTGTATGGAAAATCCGCAGCTTAGTTTCACTGTGTGCTGGAGCATCCAGCCCTTCAGTTTCCACGGTTCAGGAAGTCTTAAAAGCCTGAAACCGTGAGCCTGCTTTGTGTCACGGCGGAGCGGTTTGATGGACCCATGGAGCCGCGGCCTCTCGCGTTGCTTGTACGACTTCCCGTCCATGGAGCCGCGGCCTCTCGCGTTGCTTGTACGACTTCCCGTCCATGGAGCCGCGGCCTCTCGCGTTGCTTGTACGACTTCCCGTCAAGAGACTAGCAACCCCAACCATCCAACGGCGTCAGGCCGCTGCTCTCATTTCCCTTTGCTGTCTGAGCAATCCACTAGTGGTGCCCTGGATGGCCAAAAGGGTGCATCTACCTACTATAGCAGCTTCCACATAAATCGCAAGTTAGTTCCCTTGTATTCACAGTGACGCCGACGAGTTGAGTTGAAGATCCACACCCCGGGCCGGTTTCAGTTTTACTGCGAGATGTGACTCAGGCGTCCGCCTATGCAGCAACTGAACATGATGTTCATGTTTACGTAAGTATATACATACATACAGACATGCATACATGCATACACACATGCACACGTATATATATATATATATATATATATATATTTATTTATATTTATATATATATATATGGATACACACACATAGACATACACATATGCGTATAGAGCTCAGTAATGTCTCGCACTTCGGGCGCTTGTCTCTTGTTGAGGAGAAGTGGGCGGAGCCCAGGACCTTGATTCAGGACTTGGGAAGGAGGCCCATCAATGGAGCAGAAGGATCTGTTTCTGTTTTAGGGTTTTAGGGCTTTGGGCTGCCTGTTAAAGGGTTCAGGGCCCCGCCACCGCAAAACATGGGAGCGCTTCGAAGGCCGAAAAAGAGGTCGGCTCCGGGCTCGGGAAACACTTCAGAGAACAAGAGCCGCAGAAGCGGTGTACTTTTTTTATACGTGTGTAATGTAGCTATTTGTTTGTGCAGAACCACATATAGTTATAGTTATACGTTTGACAGTGTGAGTGTGTATACGTGTGTCTGTCTGTCTTCAAGTAGGTCCCTGTGCGCGCACAAAAGCTTTGCTCTCCACTCTGCCTGCAGGCTTTTTGAGAGCCGCTTCCTGGCGACAGCGAAGCCCGCCACGAAATGAAAGCAGGGTTTCAGAAAATTGCGGTGCGATCGATCGGGGGGCCCCACCCTGTAATAGTGGCTATAAGGATTATAATAGGGCCCTATTATATTCCTATTATACCACTATTACAGGGGGGCCATTTGGAAGCCCAAGCAGGATTGAAAAAACCAGCGCCTCGAGACGAAGTCTGACTAAGCCAGAAGCACCAGCTTGGACGAAGCAAGACGGGGGCAGTTCAGAGACTGCTTCTTGCAGGTCCCATTCCATGACCCTCTAATATAGGGGCTTAAATACTTACCACTACTATTTTGAGGGTTTCCTTATTATAGTTGTAGTATAATGGGCCCCAAAACCCTAGTCTAATTAATAAGTCCCCTATATTAGATCTCCATGCATGCTTTCGGGCGCTCAGGGAGGAGGTTTCGGGTGGCAGTGCTTGTGGGATCAACGGTTCCGATTTGAACTCAATTGGAGTTTCCGAAAATGGGGGTACCTTATTTTGGGGTCCCTATAATAAGGATCCTACTATTTGGGGTACTATATTAGGGTCCCCTATTTTCGGAAACTCCCCAATGGCCACGCTAAAGTGGTTGGGTAGCCATTCCTCGAAGCAGAGCAGTGCAAGGAATTAGATTCAGATGAGGGAGGCAGTGGTCTGCCTCCCAAACTGAACACTTAGACTCCAAACTCTACTACACCCTAAACGTTAATTAAAAGATATATATATATATATGCTAAAGCAAGTACGCGAACATCCGAGGAAGATGATGATCCGTGCAATTGTCGAGCGCTTGGCCAAGGCCTTGTGAAGCCATAGTAGTACCCATATTCCCTTTTTGCAGTCCTAGGTTCCCTATAAAGTTACCCAATATCAAAAAGGGAGCCCATGTTCATTCCTAGGTTACTGGGCATCCTAGATCCTGGATGTCAGGACCAGGAATATATAGGGAGCGGGGGCCCGGGTCTCACGTTCAGGGGTTAGTCGTAAGTTGTTATAGGGTTATAGTATTATAGACTTTATAAGTTGCATAGTAGTCATGGTTGTTGCGATGATTGTAGTTATCGTAAGTTTCGGAGTTCAGGGTTCAAAGACACTGTTATTTTCTCCGAAGGTTTAGGGTGGAGGGCCTTTGCAGTTTAGGGTGCTAGGGTGCTAGGCCTGGGACCGACAGCGGTGCCGCGGATAATTGTTGCTTCCCCCCTGTAAAAACCGGAGTCATGAGTACCACAAGTAGGAACAGTATAGGCTTGCTAAAATAACTCCAAAGCCCTGTTCCAAATGTTCAGACCCCTGTACAAGCCCAATGTTGGAACAGCCCTTACTGCAACCTACTTGCGACGTCCCGTGATGCTGCTGAGTAACCTTAGGCCCTTTCTGCTTTGGAGCCCCCATTGTTTGGGATGCTTGATGCAGCGCTGCGAGTTCTTGTCACACGACACACTCTATCGCATACAACTTACCAATTCTCCTCCCGAGTGCATCAGCTCTGAATCAAAAGGTATTGAGTATCGATGTAAATCCCTTGAGCTCCATTCCCTTCTTGACGAGCATATCTCCACGGGACATAGATATACAGACGGTTAGATGCACAATGTCCCTAAGTCTGTCAGGGCTCACAGTTTAGGGTTTCGGGTTCCTGAAGCGTCGTGGATTCTGATTTACTGGTTTCTACATGTGCCAGCGTTGCACAGGTGATTCCCGAAGAGATGCTTGAAGACGTCTTTCCAAAGGCTTCGCAGCCCGGCGACGACTTTTCCACAGACCATCTTTATGCAGGTATCGACGTGCGATCATCGAGTATATGACATAAAGAAGGATCTGTTAAGCTTCCCTTTCTCCCTGGGGATATTTCAGCGGGATTTCTGAAAGATCAGCTTTCTTCGTCGGCTTCCAACATGTTCACATGGACATGTGCCTATCCAGTTCCAGTTCCGAGCAAGTGGCAGCCTGCAACAGCCAGGATTCAAGAATACCGGGGTTCCTGAGACGGGGCATCTGCAATCACAATGTCGTTGTACAAACCCCAAAAGTCGACCCTGGGGGTTCAGGGCTCGGCCGTCCCGAAAAACCTTCGGTGAGATTGACTGAAAATCGCAGCGGAGATTCGTGTGAAGAATGGCTGACAACTTGCACTTCCCCAGTGATCCCCTATTGCAAACAGAAACAAAGCAGCACTGGCGTCAAAGTGCCTAGAGGCTTCGCACCATCTGGGAGTTTCCTTAAATGAGGATCCGAGTACTAGATTAGGGTCCCCTATTTTCGGAAGCCCCCATCTGAGTTGCAGGCCCATCTTCCTTTGCTGCGCCACGTGCAGAAGCAGCTCTCGAGGACCTTCTGTGAAGATGCGATGACCATAGCTAGGCCGTGCTACCCTCCTCTTCCTCCTACTACTGCTGCTGCTACTCCTGCTGCTGCTGTTACTAATAATGATAATGATTCCTGCTCCTGCTCTTCATCCTGCTCCTGCTCCTGCTACTCCTATGCTGCTACGACCACGACGGTGACGAGGGCAACGACTATCATCTTTATTATTATTATGATTATGATTATTCGTAGTACTGTTGTTTTGTGCACCTGCAGGAAGGGCCGGCCCAAGACGGTGCGGGAGAAGGACCGACCTCCTGCTCGAGTGTTCACCATGTTCTTCACCCCTCTACGATTCAAGGACTGTTCCTTGCTTATTGGAATGTTGGGTTTGAGCTAGTCCGGCTTCATCATGCACCAAACCCTAAACCTTAAACCCTAAACCGTAAGCCCCTAAACCCTAAGCCGTGCATGTTTGGTGATGCTCTACCTTTGCTCCTTCAGGGATCTACGGTCGGACACATGACAGCAAGCTTCCCAGAGATCCCAATACCCCTTCATTTAAGAATGTACCTTAAATCATAGTATTAAGGCCCCTATAATGTAAGGTATATTACTTAATTAAGGGGTATTGGGTTCTCTAGGTTTGGCCTTCACCTTCGCCTAGAAGCACACGCAGCCCATAAGCCCTGAAACCCTCAGCCCCTAAACTCCGATACCCTTGACTGCAAAACCCCAGGTTCTTAGACCCTTGAGCCTTAAACCGTAAAACCCCGAATTCTAGTCGCCTTGAAACGAAAAGAAAGATTTAGAAGCTGAGTACGTAACCTAAAAGCTTTCAGTGGGGTTTATATAATCCTACCATAATTGAGAAGGTGAACCTGTTTTGGGCTAGGCTTCTCGGCCCCTGCCCAGACCCGCGGGAGGATCCAAAAAGTAGATCCCTGAATGGGGGTTCCTATAAAGTACCCTTAGAAGTACGTATAGGGCCCCAAATTAGGGAATCTAATTCATTCCTAGATCCTTCCGGGGGTCTGGGTGAGAACGAGAAGCAAAACACCAGGCTGCCGAGGAGGAGCCCGAGGAGCCCCAGGAGGAGGAGAAAGAGACGGCGCCTTGGCCAAAGGCATCTTTGTGAGGTTCTTTGGGCTAATACTAAGTATTAGTAGTGGTATTAACTTTAGTATGGTTTTCGTACGATTACTATGATTGGTATCATTACTCTTTTTGCCATTACTGCTATTATTGCTATAATTAGTTTTTTAACTATTGTTACTTTTATTTTCACTCTTTTTTACTATTGTTTCTTTTATTATTCCTAGTCGTAGTACTCTTGGTCTGATTAGTATTGTTGGTATTTGTTGGTAGGATTTCGTGTTATGAGGTGTTACTACTAGGGTCTTGAAATGTGTCATATCGGTTCTGTTGTGGGTGTTCTGATTGTTTGCTCTTTTTTACAGGGGTGTGTTAAAGCATTCCGAACTCAAGTACCCTTTCACACCACTGCCCATGTCGACTGCACGTGGCTTGGGGTTTGGGCTTGAAGAAGCCTTTTCGACTAAAGGTTCCGGCTTGCTTTCAGAGGCCAGTGGTTTCTCCTAAACCCCGAAGCCCTGAGCCCGAGCCCATAACCCTAAATCCCAAACGCCTGAACCCTAGACCCGAGCCCCTAACCCAAAACCCCGAAACCCTCGCTGTCGTTGGGCCGTGGAAGGCTGTGTTTCGAATTCGACCCAAAGACGCCAACACCCCTTACTCAAAGGATATTCCCTACATGAAAGGAGGGTCTCTAAAACGATTTAAGGTATATCCTATCCCTTAATTCGGGAACCCATTAGGTATATTCCCTAATTAAGAGATGTAAGATTCCTTTGAGGAACCCTTAGGTATATTCCCTAATTCAGGGATATCGGAGTCTCCTAAACCCTAAACCCTATAGGATCCCTTATAGGAGCCGTCTCTAAGATGTTTTTTTGACCCCTTAGGTATATCCTTCCAGGAACCCTTATGGACCCCTTTAAAGGTTCCTAGGAGTCTCTAAGGATCCCTTTAAGGAACCCTTATAGGTCCCTTTAAGGAACCCTCAGAGGTCCCTTTAAAGGCATCCTAGGAATTTTGGGTCTCTGCTTCGAAAGCAGCGCTCCGAGGCCCGGCGGCGTGGGAAGAAGCAGCCCGAGGCTGCAAGCTGGGAGGCCTTCAAGGCGCCGGTTATAACAGGGCACCTAAGGGTTACTATAAGGGTACTATAAGGGCACCTAAGGGTTGCTATAAGGGTACTATAAGGGCACCTAAGGGTTGCTATAAGGGTACAACAAGGGCACCTAAGGGTTACTATAAGGGTACTATAAGGGTACCTAAGGGTTACTATAAGGGTACAACAAGGGCACCTAAGGGTTACTATAAGGGTACTACAAGGGCACCTAAGGGTTACTATAAGGGCCCCTATTTTCGACAACTCCCGTATAATCTAGCAGTATGTGATGTAATAGATAACTTGAATATGTAAGTAGGTTCAAACATAGCAATCTGCATGTGTATATATATATATATACATATATATGTATATGTGAAAAAGTAGTATTAAATATGAATATTGATGTATGACTATAGGGGAGTCATTTCGGGGCCTTCATAATTAGAAGAGGGTGTTGGGGAACATTCTAATATGAATATGAATTCTTCCAGCCTTTGTAGTAAGGATCTCAAGGGCTTAGGGGCCTAGGGACTTTTGACGGCTTTCTTTCACGGGAGGAGGTGGAGTTCTATGGTCTTTTTTGAAATAGGCGGGGTGGTTTTTAGAGCTGGAATTACCTTAGAGGCTTGTTGAAGTTGCGATGTTTCGATGTGTTTAGGCAAGATCGTTCAAGTAAAGAGGCGTCTGCCGAAGCGATTCGCATTTTCAAACTATTGCATGTTGTCGGTCAGAGTTTCTCTTGGCCACCTTCCCGGTAAGTTCAACTTGTAAAGCTCTAGGCACACATGCAAATGCACACGTCAAAGCATGCCTGTGGCTTCCTTGGAGGCAGCGATGGAAATTTCCATATCTACCATCAGGAATGGTTTCAAGGACCCTAAAACCTAAACACTACTAGTGAAGTCCTTTAAGGACAATATACTACGTTATATTATACTCTCAATATAATACGTCATTTTCTGTCATATCACATTATGTTATATACATTTCTACTACAGGAAGATCGAAAGATATCATACGTTGTTTTCTGTCACATCACATTATGTTATGAGTTTCTATTATGGTAAGATCGAAAGATGCTTCCTCTCAGCTCGCTTCGCGAGGCTGGCGACGAGGGCGAGGCGATCGTGGGTTTCCCAGAGACTCCCATTTTCCCTTGATGAAGGAATATTCCTTAAATCATACTAGGGATCCTACTATGATTTAAGGTATATTTCTCGATTAAGGGATATTGGAGTCTCTGGGTTTTGGGGGCGAAAGCTGGAAATTTAGGGCCCTTTGAGGGCTCCTGAAAGGATCCCTTAAAGGAACCCTTAAGGGCAGTCTGGGGTTTCCTTATAGGGTTCTCCTTTAGGGTACTATGGGGTTCTATAGTGGGGTTCCTCTTCAGCTCCTTTCAAGGGTCCCTGATAAGGGAGTCTATAAACTTAAGGGCCCCTTATGGAAGTTCAAGGGTTCGGGGTTCAGGGGAAGATCTCATCCGCTCGGATGCAGCCACACCGGGCTCCTGACCTGCGTGGTTGCTCTTTAAAAGCGTACGATCCGATAGATCTAACATAGGGGCCTAAATAATTGGGGGCTCCTTATTGTAATTATAGTATAGTGGGCCCCAAAACCCTATTCTAGTTATTAAGGCCCCTATACTAGTGCTCGCATCCATCGCGGCTCTGTCAGGCTGGCATCCATCTACTACTACAACTAACCTTATTTTGGTGTCTTTATAATCAGGATCCTACTAAAATGGGTACTACATCAGGGTCCGGAAAGTCCCTAAACCCTAAACCCTCTATGGAACCTTTATAGATCCCTTTAAGGAACCCTTTCAAGGAACTCTAGGGACCTGTTTTCGGAAAGTCCCATTTCCGTGTCAGGCAGATGCTGCGGACCCAGACGGGGATGCTGACATGGAGGGAGCCGCGAAGGCCGGGTTAAAGGGGCTTCCTGCGGCGCACGTTCATGGGCCATTGTGTAATTGTATACATATACATATACATATATAATATATATATATATATATATGTCTGTAGCCGAAAGGTTGGCGATTTCGGTAGTTTCGGGATCTCAGCCCTCGGTCCAAGCGAGCCCCTCGCAGGCTCCCAAGAAGCGCGGCCGGGCAGAAGGCCGAGCGGGTTCCAGCTTTAATCGGATTTCGAGAATAGGGTTCCCTTTAAAAGGTTACTATAAGGGGTCTATAGGGGTACTATAATATAGGGCCTTAATATTTAGTTCAGGCTTCCTAGAGACTCCAATACCCCTTAATTAAGGAATATACCATAAATTGTGGTAGGACCCCTACTATGATTTAACGTATATTCCTTAATTAATTAAGGGATACTGGAGTCTGTGGGCAGCCAGCTCGAAAACAGTTTGGAACCCTGAAGCGGGATGTAGTACAGAGGCCAGGATGATGACCAACATCATTTCCTAGGGTTCCATATTCATAAAATACACCCTATTGCGAGTATGAAGCCCGTCGTATGTCTGAAGCAATGCCAGTAATAGCTTTGCGACGGTAACTGCTCAGACTTGGAACGCTTCTCGTGTCCCAGCTTCAGTAGACCTCAGTATCAGCTGCGAGGCACAACGAATGAGCCCCCCATGGCTGCAGCAGTGGCGCACAGCGCTGTGCAGGTGGGCATGGGCGGAAATGTCAAGCAGGCATTTCGTAGGGCCACCCCATCATATTGCATTGATTGAAGTGTACACCAAGACCCTATTCTTGCCATCAAGGCCCCTACAGCTTCTTGCTACGTCCCTTCATCCTTCAGCATCCCCTGTACAATCGCAGCCCCTACACGTCAATCCTACGCGTGCCCAGAAGATCTCGGCTCCCTGATCGTTCAAGCAAACCCCAAGGCAGCATAGTAAATCCTTCACAAAAAAACGTTACCAAAATTCGCAAAATCCCACAAACAGCTGGCAAGATTCACCTGATCCCTGAACTGAAGTCCGCCATCGAAGTCCGCTTCGAACAGGCCCTGCTCGATGCCTGGGAGGCCGAATCAGACAGCGAGGACGGCCAGGCAGAGTGGGTTTCACAGATGCGAGCAAGGCAACTCTTCTGAGCCCCAAATCAGAGCTGAACGGGACAAGCGATGCAAACCACGATGTTGTCTTGTGGCACCGTTACAAGCGCAGCACGTAGCACACCACAAAGCCACTCTCCTTCTGCAGAAGCCTTGAGAACCGCGGCCCCCACACCTGCAGGGAAAGCGGGGCGCACGAAGCAAAAGGAAGCGCGGCGACCTCGCAGTGCACGGCTTACAGAGGCCTTTGCCTTCATTGACGGCTCAGAGCTGTGGCTCCGAAACCCGCTATCCCAAGTGCTCGCTCTTGCGATGAAGTATCCGAAGGTCTTTCGCTCCACAAAGTGCCCCCCGGAATCCTACGCCTCACTTCAGGTCCTTCATGCAAAAAGTACAAGAGTAGCAATACTCACGATACTAGAAATGATGATAAGAATCATACGAAAGTGTATTCACATGACAATACTAATAATAAGATCAATAATAGGAATCATATTAAAAGCACTGATACAGTAATACTAATCATACATAGTAGTAATATGTGAAACAATAGTAGCAATATTAACAATGATAGTACAAGTAGTAATGAAGTAGCAGTAGCCTTTCGGAAATAATAATCACAACAATAGTAACACTAGTAAATTATCAATAAAGTAACAATAATCACAACAGTAATAGAAATAGTAGTACATTATCACTAGAATAACGACAGCTTTCGGAAGCTGCCGGAGCGGCCCAAGGCTTCCACCTGGATCCAAGAGGACGGCGAGGCAGCTGGGAGCGTTTTACCCGGAGACTCCTAGGATCCCTTTAAAGGGATCTATAAGGGTTCCTCTAAGGGCGGTTTAGGCTTTAGGAGCTTCCAGTATCCCTGAATTATAAAATATTCCTGACATCATATTAGGGATCCTACTACATGATAAGGTACAAAACACTACGCTAGGTATCGATCTGGGCTTGCTTGTTTGTAAGTAGTTAGTTTCTGAGGGTTATGGTACCCTAAAGTGGACCCTAATTAGGGTCTGATACTTGTAAGTCTATAAAATAGCTACTTACTCGGTCCAGTAGGTGCCGTTGGACTTCATGTCCGCCGATGCTGCGCACTCCGCGCGGGCCTCGCCTGACCTTCGGGGATTTGTTTCCTTGCATGTGAGTTTAGTACGGGGTTTTCTTAGCCTTGAAGCTCGGCGGTGCAGAAATCAAAAAGAAGCTCCAGTTTCTCAACTTGAGCCAGAAAAAGCATGGCTCAGGTCCTCACAGTGCGGGCGCCACCTTCTAAGCGCTTGCGTGGTACACAGGCCACTGGAGTTGCAGACATATTTTATGGTCGGACACACCTGAGCCACCCTCAGTCACAGGGTCTAGAGTTAGTTGGGTCGCAAGGCTTGCGGAATGTGGGAGTGATTTAGACATAGGTCCGATGGTCATGTCGCAATTCCTGCAAAGGGCAAGACTGAGAAAGGTTCCAGTCGTTCGGTACCAAAGTGGTCAAGATTCCGCAGAGCTTGTGACCTCGTGCAACAATACCTCGAGGTCGATTTGCTCCAGGGTCGGTTCAAACCTCCAAAACAGGTCAGAAATTACGCGACCATCATCGCCAGTTTGACACTCATCATTCCCAGCAGCATAAAAACAACACGAAGAACCGTGCGGTGTTTTTACTTGATCAAGACACACAGCAATGAAGACACAAATGGAGAAGGAAAAGCGCAAGAAAAGACAAAATGAACGACAACGTCACAATCGCCACCACCGACCCTTGTACTGCGGCTACGCCACCATGACTACGGCTGCTGCTGCACTTTTGTACGACACCACTTCTGCTACCGCTATTGCCACGACTACTGCTGTTGCCACTCCAACTGCCAACTTCGAATTCTGCTGCGGCAAGCAAGCACAATAATGGCTGGAAGGCAGCAGTTACGACAGCCATGTCACTCCAGTAGCTCTCCAGCTTCCCAAGGGAGCATCGATTCCCCGCACACATTCAGCGCTCCAATAGCATCAATGACTCGACGCAGCAAAGCGAGATTGCCTCGGCAGCATGTGCATTGACAAGGTGCAAACCGACTCTGCAGGTGGCACTCCACAGCAGGAAACCGTGTAGCTGAACACGCAATCAGTGACGAGCCGGCGATCAGCCGGTTCTTGAGACTCAAACCCTTATGGAGTCTATTCCCAAACGGAATTCAGATCCCCTGTTGCCCTAGAAGCATGTAATGTGAACCGGCATGCTCATTAGGAGACCATGCAGCCAGAGTTCTCGAC